GCTCACAGGTCAAACATTTTCACTTAAATAGGAGTATACTGTGTACATGACCTTATTAAAAGTTACAGTTTAGTTTTCTGTTCGGTTTTACCAAGTTTTTTCTCCCGTTCATTTTTACAAACGTCTGCTGCAGATAGAGCAGAGAGGGGGAGGACGGGGGAGAAGAGCGGTGAACTTAACTTTATCTGACTTCTTCTATTTTATTTATTGTTTTTATCGTCCAATGAGAGAAATTGATTTGAAGCTGAGTTTTTGATAAAAATCATTAGATTACTCTAAATGTCTGTAAACCTGCAAAAAGAGGGAGAATCTGTGTAAATTACAGACATTCTGTTCACGTGAGCAGTTGTCAGTCAGCACCTGTCATCCTCCAGACGCATGATGGAGCGTGTCTGAGCCAATCACTACTTTTGACTAGGGGTGTAAGAAAATATTGATACACTGAAATATCGCGATATTTCATTTCCCAACACTGTATCGATATTCTAAAGTCCTGTATCGATTTTAATTAAGGTTTAAAATGTCAACCTTCTTGCCAACCGTTCATTTTTATGTTGTAGTTCAGCCTCTGGCCACTAGTTGGCAGCAGTGAGCCAGTACGTAAACATTAGCTTTTCCTTTTTTTTCAGTAAGAGGTTTTTATTTAATAGAATTTTTGGACAAAAAAATCACAATATATCGCCTTGTTTACAGTATCGAAATATATCGGGATATATCGTATCGTGACCCCTCTGTTATGATATGTATCGTATCGCCAAATTCTTGCCATTCCACAGCCCTACTTTTGACACTGATCAGCTGACTGATTTAAATACACCTTAACATTCATGAAGTACTTTGCATTGACTGTTTATGGTTGAATGTGGGCGTATAGGGCAGAACCTGAGGTGGGACCTCGTGCACAAACTCTGGCGTATAAATTAAAGGTGCACAGAAACTTTCGTAGCATGGTTTTATAAATCCAAATTTATTTTTTTTTTTAAGCGTACGCCATTTTCACCTTTTGGCCGTACGTTCATTTTTAGTATGGTTTCCACGCAATCCTTTATAAATCTGAGTCCTGGTATTTTGTTGTTAACCAAATTTTGTCACAACGAGACCACCAACAGGTAGTGCAGAGACACATTTCTGCACTTCCCAGCCAAGGTGCACTCTTTCCGAGTGATTACCACCACAGCTGCCCGAGTTAGGCACACTCACTGATTGTTCTCTGTGCTGTTTCTTTTGAATTGTCCAATCTCCCTCCTCAGGGTGTCTGTGGGGTTGTAAAAAGTAATAAAAGGTATTAAATCAACCAAATAAGCAAACATTAAAAAGTTTTAAAAAGTAATAAATGTAATCTAATGAGGATTTAATTATTTGAACAACTAGCACTTCAGCACTGTGCCAGAATTGGATCTCCAATGCAGAAAATAAATAAATAATAAAGGTTCACCCAGTGATTTAACAAACATTTATCTGGACCTATCAGAGGCACAGCTTTCACTTTAAACACACAAGACAGGCCTACTGGCCAATCAGAAATAGGGTCGGGGCGAGATATGGATTTTTTTTAGTATAGTTGGAGCAGTGCTCAAAATGTATTTTTCAGGTCAAGTTTGAAAAATAACTACACTATTTTGAAGCTGGCAAAGTAAAATAAATAAACCAGAAAAAAGGATTTTTAAGCCACATCTCTAATGTAGGTAAAGTCATGAGGTCCATATTTCAGTATTATGAATTATTCATTCTAAACGAGGGGGAAAAAACCCAAAATCATAAAACTTGTTAAGCCAAGTTCCAGCATGGGTGTCTTACCCCAATTTACACTGCAAATGGTATCGCTGTGCTGCACAGTTCACCATCATTTTACACCCCGATTTTCACTGCATGCGGCTTTGCATCATTGTGAAGCATCAAAGTGCTCTGAGAAGCGTGCACAGAAAATGTAAGATCCTGCAATAAATCCAGTGAAAAATGTGGAAGTCAGACCAAATAAGGTAATTCTGTGGAAGATGGATTGGAAATAACAGTTGAACTGCATCGTTGTTGTTGTTTTTTTAAATCCATATTTCAGAATAATCTACACATTTTGCGCATGCATATGGTGCGGTCAGCTTCCCAAACAGAATGATAAATTTTGACAGAATATTGCTGATCAAAATTTTAAGACCTGTTGAAAAGAATTCACATTTTGCACTATTGGATCACAAGAAGGTTCTAATTAGATATGTAAAGTGAGAGTGAGACCAAAAGAACAAGAACACCTGAGTAAACATTTTATTGCAAACACGTATTAAACAAAAATAAGTTGTTCATCAGCTGATCAAAACTTTAAGACCACAGCATTTAAAAGCCCAAATTCTCACAAAAATGTGGATTCAGTCATTTCTGTCAAAGGACTTCTTCCAGAGAAATAGCATCACTCTTTTCGACCATCCTGCGTTTCCCTGATCTTCACCACGTGGAGCAACATTCCCTCTAGCTTCCCGGAAGCAGCAGGCATGCAGAAACAATTTTTTGAGGTGATTAAAAGAATGGTGCTGCTTCTCATTGCTGAATCCTTTCTTTCAATTTGTATTTCTATAAAAAAAAATGTTTTTTTTTTGAGATATAGTCTTAAACTTTAGATGAGCTGATGAACAGCCTATTTTTGTTTAATACTTGTTTGTAAATAACATTCTTTCTTTTTTTTTTTTTTTGTCTCACTCCCATTTCTTGTTTTTGCATTCTGTAGCTCTACTTAGAACTTTCTTACGATCCAACAGTGTAAAGTGTGAATTCTTGCCATTGGAACTGGTCTTAAAAAATGATCAGGAGTGTATATGGTCAACAACATTGATGACATACAGACAGTCTTTTGCAGTCATTTAGTGGAACTGTTTTGTGAAAGAGTCAAAAGTCATTCTTGATGTTGGACCACAAAACAGTTATGCAGGCTAAAGGCCACAGAACTAACAGGCTAAAGCTGAATGAAAAAAAAAAAAAAACTATCATAATTGTAAAATAAAAAAGAGCAACTGTTCTAAAAGGAGGCATATGAATGTGGATATTTCTAACAATAAGCCACATTAGTCAGTTTCCTAACGTGACAATCCCCCAAGGTTTAGTCATTGTTGGATTAACTATAGAGGCTTTCAAATATTCATTATTATGCTATATTGTATTTCAGCAACCTGACCTTTCAACCCACATAAAACTGCTCATGAGTAGCTTCCTTGGTTTGCAGAGTTGATTGGCAAACCACTATGACAATGTATTGTTCTGTTTTTTTTTTCCTTTTTTTTTTCTTTTTTTTTTCTTACAAAATCTGGACTTTTATCCAACATGGCACTTTCAATAAATCTTAAGCTCTTTCCTTCAGTATCAAAAGTCAGATTTTTTTCATTTTTACTAAGTCGTTCACTTTTGATAAGCCTATTTTACATTCATGTGTGATGCATTAGATAAATCTCTGGTAGGAACAATTTAGTGGTAAGAAGTGATTTAAAAAATGACCTCTGCCACGCACGTACATGTTCTTATATCCTCATGGGGACTTTGCATTGACATCCATTCATTTACTTACCATTTTTACAGCCTCTTGATGCCTTACCCAAAACCTAAACCCTCAGGTACATACCTGACCCTAAACCTAACCTAAACTTAATTAACATCTTAGTCCTAAACCAAACTCCTGACCCATCAATAGCATTTCACGTGATGGGGACCATGCTTTTGTCCTCATTAGGAACAGTGGGTCCTCACCAGGCTGTGTGTTGTGAAAATTGTCAAAAATCATCCCCTCCAGGTAGCAAAAATATGTACACTAAAAGATGGAGTTAGAAATATTCAAGCTTGTTGTCTTCTACCTATCTTTCTACTTATCTCATACTAATCAAGAACAAGTCTAAGCACACAAACCAGCTGTGGGGAAAAGCAGTTGTCTGAACCAAGTTAGTGGTATTCTAAATGCAAAGACATTTTATACACACTGTTTACACATACAACACTAATATGAGCATTAGGGTTGGGCAATATTGGCAAAAAAATTAATCACGATTAATTGTGGTATTTAGCTGATAACGATTAATTTGACGATTAATCCCCTGGAGTCCCTGGAAGTTGGCTAATGTTAACAACCATTTTATGATGTGGATTCTACACATTTTCCTTAAAAAGAGCACAGCTAATTCTGCTGACTGCACATTCCAGTTTTTTAATGGTCACAGAATGGAAAAAAAATGTTGTCATTCATTCATAGAGAAAGTCATTATGGAAGTGCCTAATAGTACATTAGAAAAATGGGCACTAGGCACCATGAACTTTTTAGTTCTTTCAGTCTTTTTACTCAGAAAAGTTGTTTTCAGACCAAACAGTAATCATGACTGTGGCCACAACACTCAGCAGATATTTAGTGCAGCCATGTCACAAATAAACATGTATTTTGTAATTAACAACATCATCAACAATGGAAGACTGTGTTGTTGGAGCTATGAGCTTTGAGTTGTGACCAGCAGAACTGGTCAGAAAAAAACTACTTTAAGCAAATATTCATACAACATATCGGCCTAATTTTGTGTGTTCAAAGTATATAACAGCAATAGTTGCAGAAGTATCTTCACAGAAGCAGTAGCTCTAAAAAAGAAGATCCGAGAACTGTTGCTGCAAGCTATACAATCGGCCGGTGTGAAAGAAACAAAAAAGGCAAACTACTGGTTAGGAGCTGGTCCCTTGCATACTGAAAGTACTTGCAGTGTCATTGGAGTGTCATTGGTGGTCTGAGTAGAGTAATATAGAGAATGTGTGGGTGTTATATGATCACATGAAAATGTTGGGATTTAACGTTTCATTAAAGAAACTGCAACCATGTCTGTGACTCTCAACATTGCAGCAATTTCTCACAGTTCTTACAGACAGGCCAAAAAAAGAAGCCTTCTAAACATCAATGTTCAAAACAGGAAGCTTGTACAAATTTGCCTTCCACCAGTGTAGTGCACAGTTCCAATTTTGTCAGTTTTTAGTGCAGCTTCCTCTAAGTGTTTGCAGTCAAAGGTTTGTATTCCTGTAAATAATATTTGGTTGTGCTCAATGTCATTTTTTTCAGACAGTTCGACATGAAGCTGAGCAGCTGTTCATTGCAGTTTTAGAGTATTGAGAATTTAATTTCCCCAATTGCAGCACATTACTGGTCTGTACTGAGGTGTAAAACTGCCATTGCTGCTGATATTTATGTGCATGTTTGAAGCCTTTTAGTGCACATGAATTATTTAACAATGTAGACTAATTATCATCAGTGTAGAACTTATAACTGCTACCATCTGTGTGTCAACAGTGTCTACACTTGTCTTTCCTAAATTGAAAACTGTTTTTCACTTGAGTATTCACTTCCAAAAGGACCCAACGCCACTTCAACACTTTGTATGACATCTAGGGTTGGGCATAATCGTATCGTGTGCAATTAATTGTCAGAAAAACATTAATCTATTATTTTTTGGGACTTGACGATTAATATGATTAATGCTACCAGGCCGCTCGGTGCTCCTCTCCGCTTCAAATAAAAAAATAAAAAAAAAAGTTCTGTAATTTATTTGTCTATCAACACAAATTAAAATTATTTTATAGCCCGAAGTCTGTAATTTTGACACAATTTGGAACAGATTTTTTACGAAGACCAAATTTTCCCCACTAAGTTAGTCATGTGACCAGGACATAAGGGTGTCCAGGGACTCCAGGGGATAATTGTCAAATTAATTGTTATCAGCTAAATACCACAATTAATCGTGATTTTTTTTTCCCCCGATATTGTCCAACCCAAATGACATCTAGTGTACTGAATTGTATTATTCTTCAGGCTGTTCGGAGGGAAAAAAATTGAACTTAGAGTAAGAGTAGTTACAAACTTGTTTTTATTACATGGCAATATCTTAGATATGGAAGTTTCCCTGAACATTTTCTGTCGCACTTATTTTCATGTTCTGTTGCTTGCTGTTTTTGCAAATCACAGAATAGACTGAGGTCAAGACTTGTAATTTGTTCAAGGTAAAACTGTTCTTTATACCTAAAGTGCTTCTGTGTTTATTAATGACTCTGGTTCAGCTTTTTCTTCTGTGTGCTTGCAGCAAGTGCGTGGATTGCAAGGCATCAGATTTCCTTTATTTGTTTGATTGTATTTTTTTTAGAAAAAAAAACAACAAGATTTTCAAGTGATTCTGAAAAGTCAATAATGTAATACAAAAATGATCAAGCTGAAAACTGCATCCCCAACCATCTACTAGGGCTGGGCAAAATTGTATTGTGCAATTAAGTGCCAAAAATAACTCTCAACAACTAATATTTGTCATTTGGAAATATTGCAATGAGTGCCATGTGATGATGCATTTTCGTGTGACACACTATCGCTATCAGGCGAGCACGTGAGTCCATTGGCAGAAGACAGTGCAGAGCAACTAATGCTAACCCTATCCCTTAGAACTTGTTTAATCACCTGACACATCAACAAAACCTGGATTACGAGGAAAGCCAGAAAATACGGACCAAAGCCACAACATCGGTTACTTGCGAGTGTAGTTGTTATCTATTGTCATACTAATCGTTATTGGAGAGATGCCATAATTAATGGTGATATACAGTGTATACATATATATATAT